GTAAATTCAAGGCCAGTAAATGGATCCGATGGCAGTCGACCCCACTTGGCCTCCACTTCAGAATGCTTGTCGATAGTCGATTGATCTACAATTTTGCCAGACGGAAGCACGGTAGGAAAAATCTAACAAATACAGCCAAGTTTATTTGTGATAAAATTACGCTTAAAAAAAAATACTTACCATTAGCTCCCACGTGATTTCATCAAGGAACTCTTCGGGTATTTTCAGAGTAGAATAATCATTTAGCTCCGGTACGCTACGTGAAGGCGAGCGCTGACCCCGACCTTGCTGTGTGCGAAAACCCTGTGGGTTTACAATTTCGCTCCAGATGGTTTTAACTAGCTCTCGATCTGCTTTTTCTAACAATCGCGACGGCAGGCCCCATACTTCTATTTTACGCAAAACTGGTGGACTTCGCTTAGTAGCACAAACTATAACTTTGAGACTGCTGGCATTTGAAAGTAAACGATGTGCTGTCTTAAAGAAGAATGCCTTAACGCTTTGTGCTTGATTAGCAGCACTTTCTGCATTGCTACGAGAATTATAATCGCTTTGATAGCAAAAAGTTACCGAGTCCACGCCCTCAGCAAGGTCACGCGCATAAGCAACACGTTCCCAAATGCCCTCGAACTTACCGTGAAGCTCAAAGGCCGTCGACCGTAGAGACCCATTGCTATTCCACAGCTTGATGACCTTCACTTCAACAGCTTTGGGGAAGTCGAAAACAATTTCAACTGGCGGCTTGGTGACGGCATATGCCATGAAACCGCGTGACAGCTGCTCAGCGTCATCTGCAATTAAGTTATTCGCAGAATAACCATCCTCACATAGCGCTTCGCACTCTACAGAGGGTTTAAGCTTCGAATTGAGAAAATTAATCAAGCTCATTTAGCAAAATTTTTAGTCAGTCAAAATGTTTGATCAAGTACGGCGATTTTTCACGTAATTAGCCTTACGAGTTATAAGATGGCGTCTACAACTGTAGTCACCGTGCTATTTCACTTCAATAAACGATTCCTTTTTTCCACAGCTTTTACAATGCGTAATAAATTTTTTTAGTTTCAAAATCAATAAAGGAACGCAAAAGAACACAAATGTTTAGTAAGAAAGAAATAATCCAAACAATTTATGGTACCACACACAGCGTCGTTAAAATTTATGCTGTAAGCAGTTGGTGCTAAACTTAACTCGGCTTGTCAGGTGCTATAATTGGCAGTGTTGGCATTTTTGGTTCAATTGTTCTTTTTTGAACAATTTCGTTCACAATATACTTTCCTACAATGCAGTTCTATTTAGTACAATTTTTGACAAACACTCAATATTTTATTTTATTAAAACGAGGGATTTTCTTAACCAAAGGTAGGATTATTACCATAATATTAAAATTGCTATCAAAATGTCAAGTTTTAGTCCCGAATCCAAAGAAGAGTCCTCTTTTATTTATTATTAATTGGTTTTAAGAGATTTTTGTTAAGTGTACCTAAAAGTATGTACATACGTATTTATGTTAAGAGGGTTTTTTTTTTACAAAATTAGCGTTATTTTCAAAAAAGAAAATGAAATTTATGGGGTTCCTTATATTAATACAGCAATATTTATTAAAAATAAAACGGGTTTAAAAATCTTTGTAAATGATAAATTTCATAAAATATTTTTATGTACAAAACATTTAAATCTATGTCGTTATATCTTTATGAACCATGTCTTTATTTCGTAAAAACGACGCAAGCAAACATGTAAATTTTCTCATGAATACAACCAAATAATTAGTCTTGAAGGCAATGTATGTATGTACGCAAGTACTATGGAAATATATAAGCCAATTAAAAAGGCGATACCATTTACGGTTGAAAGGTACGGTTTTTGTATGGATTTCGTTTGCAGAAAATTTAACTTCCCAACACTGTGCTATATTTGGCATATGACAAATTTATCTACGAAATTCAGAAGCATGGCAAATGGCAGCATTTTCATCCCTAACACCTCGCCTCCACGAAACATAGAAAATGCCAAGGCATGAACCAAAAATACAAGATCACGCATGCAGTAGAGTAGCCCGTTAGAATCGCATTTAGGAAAAGTTTAACGATTTTGACATTAGCCGTTTGTTTACATTTCTTCGTTGTTTACAATTTGGTGGTGGCTTTTTACTGCAATTTTCTTCATTTTTGCCTTTGACAACGCGTGTACACATAAGATAAAGAATAAATAAAAATTATTATTATTCATGCGTTCAACTATTTCGCAGTTTTCTCCGTTCTCTTCGTTGTTTACTTCTTACAACAAAGATGGCGTCGAGATTTCGGCAGCTAGAAAATAACGTTTTTCTTTCTTTCCTTCCCGCGTGATCTTTTGTCTTTCCTTCATGATGCCAAGGTATATCCAGAAAGGCAAAAGCGATTTCGAAAGTTCTCTCCTTTGGACTGCAATTTAGGGTCAGTTTTTCAGTGCACGGCTGTAGTCTGAACTTCCGAACAAACATTTAGAGTGCAACTTCTCTTCTTCTTCTTCTTTTTTGGCGCTGTAACCGCCTAAGCGATTTTGGCCGAGTTCAGCAAAGCACGCCAGTCGTTTCTCCTCTGTGCCAACTGACGCCAAGTGAAGCCAAGTCCTTCTCCACCTGATCTTTCCATAGCAGTGGGGGCCTCCCTCTTCCTCTGCTACCACCAGCGGGCTCCGAGTTGAATACTTTCAGAGCTGGAGCGTCGGTGTCCATTCGAACGACATGACCAAGCCAGCGGAGCCGCTGTATTTTAATTCGCTGCACTATGTCCATATCGTTGTAAAGCTCATACAGCTCATCGTTCCATCGTCTGCGGTACTCGCCGTCGCCAACGCGTAAAGGACCGTAAATCTTCCGCAAAATCTTTCTCTCAAACACCCCAAGAGCCGTCTCATCGGATGTTGTCATTGTCCATGCTTCTGCGCCATATACCAGCACGGGCATGATGAGTGACTTATAGAGCGTGGTTTTCGTACGTCGAGAGAGGACTTTACTCCTGAATTGCCTACTCAGTCCAAAGTAGCACTTGTTGGCAAGAGTGATTCTACGTTGGATTTCAATGCTGACATTATTATCGGAGTTAATGCTGGTTCCCAAGTAAACGAAATTCTCTACTTTCTCGAAATTGTAACTGTCAACAGTGACGTGGGTGCCAAGGCGCGAATGTGCTGACTGTTTGTTTGATGACAGGAGATACTTCGTCTTGTCCTCGTTTACCACCAGACCCATGCGCTTTGCTTCCCTATCCAACTTGGAAAATGCAGAACAGACTTCGCGGTTTTTGTTACCGATGATGTCGATGTCATCGGCATAAGCCAGCAATTGCACGCTCTTGTAGTAAATTGTTCCTGAGCGGTTCAGTTCTGCAGCTCTTATTATCTTCTCCAACATCAGATTAAAGAAGTCACATGAAAGGGAGTCGCCCTGTCTGAAACCCCGTTTTGTGGCGAACGGCTCGGAGAGGTCTTTTCCAATTCTGACGGAGCTGGTGGTATTGCTCAACGTCATTTTACACAGCCGTATGAGTTTTGAGGGGATGCCAAATTCAGACATAGCGGCGTATAGGCAACTCCTTTTAGTGCTGTCAAAAGCGGCTTTAAAGTCGACAAATAGGTGGTGAGCGTCGATCCTTTTCTCGCGGGTCTTTTCCAAGATTTGGCGTATTGTGAATACCTGGTCTATGGTGGATTTGCCAGGTCTAAAGCCACACTGATAAGGCCCAATCAGTTCATTGACGGTGGGCTTCAGTCTTTCACACAATACGATCGATAACACCTTGTAACCTATGCTTAGAGGGCTGATCCCGCGGTAGTTGGCGCGAATGGCGGGGTCACCTTTCTTGTGGATTGGGCAGAGCACACTTAAATTCCAGTCGTCGGGCATGCGTTCATCTGACCATATTCTGCACAAGAGTTGATGCATGCACCTTATCAACTCCTCGCCGCCGTACTTGAATAGCTCAGCTGGCAGGCTGTCAGCTCCAGCGGCTTTGTTGTTTTTCAGCCGCGTTATTGCTATTCGTACCTCGTCATAATCAGACGGTGGAACGTCGACTCCGTCATCGTCGACTGCGGGCTCGGGTTCTTCTTCTCCACAACTTTCCGTGCTGCTACCATTTAGTAGGGCGGAAAAGTGTTTCTTCCATAATTTAAGTACGCTCTAACCATCAGTTACTAGGTCACCATTATTGCTCTTACAGGAGTACGCCCCGGTCTTGAAACCCTCCGTAAGTCGCCTAACTATCTGGTAAAATTTTCTGGCATTCCTCCTGTCGGCCAGCATTTCAAGCTCTTCGCACTCACGTATTTCGGCCTCTCTCTTCCTTCTTCAGTTCCTTATAACGGTCCCACATGGCTCGCGTTACGCCCGATCGCAGCGTGGCTCTATAGGCAGTGTCTTTTTTCTCTATGGCTTCTTGACATTCCTCATCGTACCAGTTGTTCTCTCGGGCTCGCTGAAATCCGACTACTTCTTCGACGGTGGTACTTAATGATCGGGAAATGTGGTTCCACTGCTCGCGTATGTCGGTTTGTTGAAGATTGCTCTCTGATTGCAGCTTTTCGACGTTAAGCTTTCCTTGCATATTTGGAGGCACATTTTTTGCTGCGCAGAGGCGGGTGCGTATCTTGGCTACAACAAGATAGTCGTCGATGTCGTCCGAGTCGATGTTGGCCCTCGGAGTGTACGTACGTCTAAAACACTTGAAGCATGCCCTATCACAACATGATCAATTTGGTTTCTCGTTTTTCGATCTGGAGACAGCCATGTATTAAAATCGCCAAGCACGATTTTGACATCGTGTCGGGGGCAGCGCTCGTATGTACGTTCCAAGCACTCATAGAAGAGATCCTTGGAAGCTTCATCCTTCTCTTCCGTCGGGGCATGGGTGCAGATGAGCGAGATGTTGAAGAATCTAGCTTTGATGCGGATTGTGGCTAGACGTTCGTCTACCGGGGTGAACGCTAGTACTCGGCGACGGAATCTCTCTCCAACCACGAATCCAACGCCGAATTTGCGCTCCTTTACGTGGCAACTGTAGTAGACGTCGCAAGGCTTCACGCTTAGTTTTCCTCTCTCGTCCATCGTATTTCTTGGATGGCGGTGATGTCAGCCTTTGTCTTCCCGAGGACATCAACCAGCCGGGCAGAGGCACCTTCCCCATTAAGGGTCCGGATTTCCCAGGTGCATAGTCCTTAATACGTTTGCCGTAGTCGTCATCAAAAACAGGGGGTCTAATCCGAGGCTGTTTGTTCTTTTTCATTGGGTGGGGTTTTAACGTGGGGGGACCCAAACCCAGCGCACGCGAAGTTTTACGCCTTCTCACCTTAGCACGCTCCAAAACGGGTGTTTGGTTGCTACCTAGCGGATACGTGGATATAAATATCCGGACGTTGTGAGCTGCGATTTGAAC